TGTAAATAAATAAACTGGCTCCCGCCTTTAATGGGAGGCTTGCTGAATAGTCCCACTATCCTAAGAGGCATCTCACTCAAGACTAGTTTGTGGTACCAGACAAGGTATCATTTTTTTCTTCTTCACTGTGGCTTTCTCCACAAATAGCTCACCTCTGGAGAATTAAGCTGGATGCCAAAGAACTGGCCATTTTATACCAAACAAAGGAAGGGACCTCTTCCTTTGCCTGATGCAGCCTGCCCTGGACAGTGGGATCGAAGCCTCTCGTATCAGAACCTCTCTCTAGCAGCCTGCTTTTGATACCATCCCACATGGGCAGACAAGAAAGTCATTTCTAAATAAACGTCTCTACACTATGCTTCCAATGCAGCAGACTTAACAGTTCGGCTTAATTGTTTTTGCTTGGAATACATAGGCTAGCGTCATTCCGTAGGCTATGTTGAACCACAAAACCGGCCACTGAAAGAATTTCACAGCTTGTATGTTTGTCCTGTTCCAGCTATAACACCACAGGAGGTAATAGGATTAAATTCTTTTTAAAAAGAAAGAAATCAAAGTGGAGCATTCAATAGCTATTATCATTCTTTTAAAAACAAGATTCGGTTACGATTGGGTTTTGAGGTAACCTGTAGATCTGGAACCGTAAGAGGAAAATAGAGATGAGGAAACACACACCTGTTAATGACCTTCTTTAAAGGACACTCGACAGAACCGAAGCTTTAGTTGTACTTTTCCAGCATTTCCTACACCGACCTGTTACCAAACCGAAGCTGACCAAGAGCTAAAAACAGGATAGTTTCGCTACACTTTTTTTGTTGTTTACAGCGCCCAAATTGAAAGGGTGCAACCTCTTTGAAGTACAGCCTGCAATTATTTGTGGGCACGGGAAGTTGTGGGTACTGCATGCCCAGATGTCGGAAGGACCAAAGCGTAGCAGCACTTTGGGGAACCCAGATTGTATCTCATGCACAGCACCCAGTCTGAATCCACAACGCTGGCTGGATGAGAATTCCAGTAATTGACACTTCTGGGGGTGTGCATCTTGGGCTTATTCCTGCATATTGTAGAGTTGGGGGAATGCTAATTATAGCACCCTGGGGGTGGGGGCAGTCTCAACGGCGGTGCTCAAGAAAGGAAGTGGGTTGGTTGCATTTCCAATGAGGCTATGTCAGGGTTGGTTTACGTAGACGACTGCTGTAAGCTAATAAACTTGATTTGGGCATTCACGTTTTGACATAATTAGCCGAGATACCATTACTTTAAGTAAGGTGAAGCGTGCAGTCAAGTCGCAACCAACTCAAGACGACCTTGTGAAGTTCCACCTCATGGGGTTTTCCAGGGAAGGGATGAGTTTTCCAGAGGTGGTCTGTCATTGCTGTCCTCTGCCCAGCTGCCCTGGACTTCTTCTCCCATCCCAGTACTGACTCTGCTTAGCCTGAACACACATGAAGCTGCCTTGTCCGGAATCAGTCCATTGAGGTCGGTATCGTCCACTCAGACTGGCAGCGGCTCTCCGGGGTCTCTGGCCGAGGCCTTTCACGCCGTCTACTGCCTGGTCCTGGGACTGTGCCTGGGGCCTCCTGCATACGTAGCAGAGGCTCTCCCACTGAGCCAGAGCCCCTCCCTTCAGAGCTTCCACATTCTGACAAGATCGGGCTCGTCTGAGCTGCTGCTGGTAACTTTAAATGAAGTTTTAAAAAAATTAATGAACACAACTTAATATTAGGAATGGCTTATCTTCAAAGATAAGGGTTATCAACCTGATGATGTCCCTTTCCCAACCATCATTCCAATTTCCATCTTCCAGCTGTGCCTTGGTTAAGGCCAGCAGGTCCTGAAGAGGTAGAGTCCTCTTTCTCCAGCCGATGAAGGCGTGACAAAGGGGAATTTCACATTACCCAGTTTCATCCGGTTTCAAGCCGGTAATCATCCGTTTTGAAGTGAACCAGTACAGGGCTGCCATTTCACACATGGCTTGCCCCTACCAGAAATGAGCCGGATCAGAAGCGGTTTGGCATTTCAGACTGCACCGCTTTTCCCCTGCCATCTTTCGCCCGTGCGGGCGATCTGCGGCTTTTGGCTTTTTTTTTTTGAACGTTCATTTTATAGCGCTATAACGAAACACTCCAGGCATTCCAATGAGGTTGATATAATGCTATTCAGTTATAGCGTTATAAATCAAATGTTTAAAAAAAAGCCCGCGCGGGCGAAAAACGGCGGGGGAAAAGCATAACAGAATCGGGAGAGGGAACTGAAGACTACTCGGAAGCGGTTGACAGGTAAAACGCTTCAGTCCCGGTTCCTAAATGGGACAGAAGCTTTTGTGTATGAAATGGCAAATACATTCCGGTAGGGAACCGATTCTCAAAGGGGTTCTATCTGAAATGACAGACCAGAACCCGTTTGAGAATCGGTTCCCTACCGGGAGATATCGCCTGTCTGAAATTCCTCAAACTCTCCATGGGCTTAGGATACACTAATGAAGTGTGAAATGTTTGCCTCTCTAAGAAGACTCTTCCCATTTGAGGAACTCTCTGCAGGTAAGGACTGAGTTCCTATCGCTGAATCCTTTAAAAGTTTTGAACTTTATACATGAAGAATACATGCAATTCTATTATAAATTCTATTATAATTTTTCACGTTATATGTAATGAGAGCCAGTCTGGTGTAGCGGTTAAGTGTGCGGTCTCTAATCTGGGAGAACCGGGTTTGATTCCCCACTCCTCCACTTGCAGCTGCTGGATGACCTTGGGCAAGCCGTAGCTCTGATAAGAGCTGTTCTTGAAAAGAGCAGTTTCTGTCAGAGCTCTCTCAACCCCACCTACCTCACAGGGTGTCTGTTGTGGGGAGGGGAAGGGAAAGGAGAATGTAAGCCGCTCTGAGACTCCAAGTGAAGGGCGGGGTATAAATCCAATCTCTTCTTCTTCTTCTTAGTAGGCTGCACCATCTGAAACTATCACTGTCTAATTCCCCAGCCACTGTTCCCCTCCCTGGGTAGGCTTGAGATGTGGGGGGAAACAGAGAAAGAAAGCAGCTTTAACTTTAAATGCATTCTCAAAGCCCCCCCCCCCCCAAGCTGGCTCAGAGAAGGCATTTGTCTCTTTACATTTGTTCTTTCTTTCTTCTTTCCTTCCCTCTCTCCCCCCTCCCCATCTCTTTGCTTTGTTTCTCTTTATTTCCACCTCTTTCCACCTTTCTCTTTGTCTTCCTTCCCCTCTCTCTCCATCTATTTTCTTTCTCTTTCTTCCTTCCTTCCCCTCCCTTCCCCATCTATTTGATTTGTTTCTTTTTCCCCTTCCTCCCTCCCCCATCTATATGCTCTTTCCACCATTCTTTTTCTCCCTTCCTGTCTCCCCCATCTATTTGCTTTCTTTTTCTCTCTTTCCACCTCTTTCATTCTTTCTTTCCACCTCTTTCTTAGACAAGTATCATTAGCAAACAAATAAATATCATTATCAATATCTGTATTTACCCCTTTTTATTTTTGGCAGTCTCATTTAATGTTAATAAAAAGCAAATTTGCATATTTTCCAATAAAAACGTGTAATATTTGTTGATGTCTTGCAGCTCGCAAACATCCTGTGTTTATTCTATGTGGCTCTTACATTAAGCAAGTTTGGCCACCCCTGTTCTAGAGGAACATATGGCCAAGTGGGCTCTCGGAGACCCAGGCTTGAATGCCCACTCTGACAGGGAAGCTTGCTGGGTGCCCTGGGGCCAGTCACACACACACACTCTCTCTCATCCCAGCCTACCTCACAAGGTTGTTGTTATGATACAGTGAAGAAGGGAAGAATGTTGTAGGGTGTCTGGGTTCCTCCTTTGGGAGACAAGTGGGGGTATAAAATAGCTAAATAAATAAATAAATAAAGTAAGATTTCAGGATTTTGGATGCGGCTGGAAAACAAAAAAACCCAACCCGCTCCGGGATTCTTGCCTTTCAAGAGCAGGTGCTGCAGGAGAGCAGGGAGAAAACCCCCAGGTTCCCTGCGCTAGAAGTCTTTTGACCTACCACGCCAAGGACACGAGGCTACGTGAGGGCACATCCAGGATGCCCCAGAAGCCGAGAGAGAGCGGGACTCTCATTAACTTTTTTAATAGATGCGACCAAGAACGCGCCGGAGCGCCCGCACCTCCCACGGTACCAGAATATTAACCAAACGATGCCCGGGGCCCACACAGACGAGGAGGCCGCCCTGCGAGAGGAGACGAGGCCAACTTTGGGGCACTGCAAGGCGCGCCGACGCCCGCCGCCATCTTGAGCAGCTGCCGCGACTCCCCGGCGTTGGGCGGGCTTTGGCCGGGGAAGACCCGCCTCTGCGGTGAGCTCACACGTCGCAGATCCTCCTCCAGGCGCCTTGCTTTCTTAGCTGGAGCTGCGAGCGGGGGTCGGAGATGTCTGCGCGGGGTTACCTCTCCTGGCTGGAGCCCCCCTAGGGCGCGCGCCAGTCAACCCAGAGCGGCGCAGCGGCAGCGGGCCAGGCACAAGCTCCGGGGTGGCCCCTCCACGACTCCCGTGGCTCAGCCTGGGCGGGCGGGCAGCCGGAGAGGCGCTGGGTAGGGTGGAGAGAGGGGCGCCTGCAAGAACCTGGGGACGACGGCGAGCGGCGCCCCCCAGCAGGGGAAGAAATCGCGTGAAGAGACGCGATGGCGACTCCCGCATGGGGACTGTGACTCAGTGGCAGGGGGTCGAAAGTGGGGGGGGGGGGGGGGCTCCTTCTCATACCTAGCAGGCAGTGACTGCATGTGTGTGTGTGTGCGTTCCCCCTCCCTCTGTTGTCATACGCGGGCTGCTGGCTCCGAAGCCAACCCTGCTGGGGAGGGATGAATCATTCACGTGCGCCTCGCCTTCAGCTGTTGTAAACAGCCGCGTCGCTGAAGGTTGCGGATCCGTTCCAACTCTCCGCCAATAAATGCCCCTGGCTTCTGAGACGTGGTCCTATTGGCTCCGGTGGGCCTTTTGGAGGGGGCGGGGGGGGAACGGGAACGCTGCTGAGGCGCTCGGCAGCTGGCGAATTGGCGTGGGCGGCTGGACGGCGCCCGAGCGGCTTGGTCCCTGCGAGAGGTGTGTTTGGCACGTGTGCGCCTCGCGAATTGGATAAGCAGCTGGTTGTGCCCGAAAGGAGCTTCGTGTAGATCGGGACTCAGGGGCGCAACACGTTGATGACTTGCTTTTTTTGCGCTGCTGAAGATGCGTCGCCTGTAGCGAAATCTAAGCCTTGTTTACTCCGGAGCAGTGTTCCCTCCAAGCTGAGTTAGTGTGAGCCAGCTCGCAGGTTTTTAGCCTCCGGCTCACACATTTTTGTCTTAGCTCAAGAACGATGGCTCCAGAGCAAACTAACTTATGCAGTAACCAAATGCTCGCTCACGACTTTAATGCCAGTAGCTCACAAGGCAGGATTTTTGCTCACAAGACTCCACAGCTTAGAGGGAACATTGCTCCGGAGTCAGTCCCACTGCGTTCAGTGGAGCTTCCTCCCCGTTCTACTTGCATGGTGTTACATACATCCCTGGTTGTAAGTGACTCCTACTGGAATGATGAGTTACTTCTAGGTTTGTAAATCATCATTGAACTGTAACCGGGCGGGGGAGTCCAGAAATAGAGCCAGTCCTGTGGTACAAGCCAGAGAAACTTCCAAATTGAAATCAAAGCTTTTAAATCCCACTTTTTCTAGATGCCTAGCTTTCTCTAGTTTTCAGTTTTAGGCTATAGTCCTAAAATGGGTGCAGAAAAATCCTGTTACAAACTTTATTTGCTGCAATGCAACAAATATTTGTGTTATGTTCAAATAAATAAGGTTTCTTTCACCCTGGTGTGCATGCTTGCAGTAAGACTGTCAGAAAATATTCCTCATAACAATTCATATGAGTGACTTGTGAGCTGGGAGATTGTGGATCTAAGTGGGAGCAACTTATTTAATGATGGCACATTGCCACTGGCACATGGAAGCTGCCCCTGCTGAGATCTCCTGGTTTACCTGTCAAGTGGTTTGAGTGAACGGAAGTCTCACAGCCCCTTCTAACAGCTGAACGGGCTCTTACGCTTTTGTGTACATGTGGCTCTTGTTTAACTTGTTGACTTGCCATGTTTGGGAAACGTGATGATTTCTTGTGTTAGTATGCAGCAAGAGATGTCAAAGGCTATCGGCAAGATAAAAGGGAACCTTCGTAGTCAGAGGCAGCAATATCTACAGATATCTGAATATCTGTAATGGGAGTCAGCATTGCGGAAGGCCTTGATTTCTGTGCCCTGTTCGTTGGCCCTCAGAAGCAGGTGGTTGCCCACTCTGCGAAACAAGATGCTGGACTAGAGAGGCCACTGGTCTGATCAAGCAGGGCTCTTATGTTCTTAAGACCATGGAGAATGTACATATCTTGCAACATCAAGTTGATTGTAAACAGTGCCATTCTAAGCTCATTGGATTTAGAAGGGTCTAACTCTGTTTAGGATGGCACGGTTAATGTTGCTTATTTGAATGGGATTAAGAAATAAAACGAGTCCCTGGAAAAGACAATAAGGCTGGGAAATGTTGGAGGCAGCTGGAAAAGAGAAAGGCCCAACATGAGATGGGTTGACTCAATCAAGGAAGCCACAGTCCTCCGTTTGCAAGACCTGAGCAAGGTGTTTAATGACAGGTCATTTGGAGGACATTAATTCATAGGTTTGCCGTAACTCAGCCTCAACTTGGCAGCAGTTAAGATACAATGCAAGGAGACTTCCGGTTTATGGCGACCCACTAGCGGACGCGTCCCTGGTAGTTCCTGGGGAGGCGATCCGTGTGCCAGCGGCTAGGAGGGGGCCCCACTGTTCGCCACCCCCCTGGAGCCTTTGCGATAGGCTCCTAGCCATGGGGCTTTGAAGGGTGGCCTCTTCGCCAGCGCGATGCTGGGGAATTGAGACACTCTTCTGCCCCGACGGTCCGGCCGTTGTGCATCCGTAATGGAACTCGAGCCGCCGACCGGGACAAGCATTTGGAGATCGGGCTTTTTTCACGTACCTTTGGCGAGTTCTTTGGACAAACAATGAACAGTGAGTTGAGTTAAACGAAAACACTGGGATTATAAAAGAAAGTTCCCCCAGGAACGGCGAGATCAGCGAGCGGGGAGGGGCCCCTCCCATACGCATGAGTGAGGTAGCGATTTTTCAAGGGGGAGCTGAAGTAAAAGCGATGAAATCTGTTTTGAGGAATACACTAGAGCACCAATAACCATTTAGGCGAATTGCAGAGGCTTCAGCAAGTTCTCTTTTAAAAGTGAACAATCTGCAAACATGGCGCTGAGGAAAACGGAGAAAGAAAAGCAAGCGAAACTTAACCCACCTGCAAGTATGAGCCCTCCATGTTTTCTAAGCTGTTAGCGGACTTTTTGCGCCCTCTACTGGACCAGATGACAAATATCAATCAACAGTTGACAGCATTAAGCCAGAACTTTGCAGCTCAGCAGCTCCAACTGAATGAAACTACAAAAATGTCGGAGCAAACAGCTGAGAAGGTGAAGGAAATGGATGCCAAATCTAAAAAGGTGAATAAAAGGGTGCAGTTGCTGGAAAAGAAGCAAGTTTCGGATGAATCTCAGCTTTTGCAGATACAAATAGAGAAAGCCAACCTTGTTCTCTGGTTTCAAGGAGTCCCTGAGGCTAAAGACGAGAATCTAAAACAAATACTGAGTGATGCGCTGGCTCCAATTGCAGATTTAAAAGCGGAATATCTTATAAGCGAAATGGATGTGGTCTATAGAGCCCATTCCGTATATATTAAGAAGAATAATCTGCCTGGATGTCAGAACCCACAGCCAACAACGTAGTACACGCTTATCAGGAAAGGTAATACTTTATTGAGGAGCTATAGATGCATTAACATAGGCACTGTTAAGAATGGCGACTGCCCCTGGGGCATAATAGGATATAGGGTATTCGTATGCACACACCCCCACTGCCCTGGCCAATTAGCCACACTCCCGCGCATGGGAGAAGGTGCTCTGGCCGTTTGTGCTGAAACTGGGAACCAAGCTTGCTCTCACAGTTCCCTTAGAACTAGACATCAACATCCCACCACCTGCAGAACTTAGAGATAAGCGTTACAGCAGCGAAGAAGCACAGAAGGAGTGCAAAGGTGATTAGAGTACAACTGACCCCCCCCGCCAACCTCCATGGCAGCTTAGCTGACATACTGCCCCCTCGAAAATCAGCTTCTCCCCACCATTCCGGGAGGCCTCCCGGTTTGTCCGGGAAGTCCCGATGAAACTTCCGCAATAAGCGAGGGGCCCAAATATCCCCTACTTCCACCCACTCAAGGTGCTGGGGTCCAAAATCTAACAATTCAACCAAATACATCAACTTTCCACGTTTGATCTTAGAGTCCAGGATTTTAGAGATCTCATAATGTTCCTCGCCCTCAATCAAGATAGGAGGGGGTACTGGTTTCGATGGACGCCAAGGGCTGGAACCGGAATCCTTCTTCAGGAGGCTGAAATGAAACACAGAATGCAGTTTCCTCAAGTTTTTAGGCAAATCCAGTTCCACCGCTACATCATTGATCACCCTTTTCACTGGAAACAGACCAATGTATTTCCAGCCCAGCTTCCGACTAGGGCGCAGCATCTGAATGTTTTTAGTAGACACACAGACCGAGTCTCCAGGCTATAGAGCCCAACCCTCCACCCTTCTCTTATCAGCCTGAGATTTGTACACTTCCTTGGCAGCATTCAAAGTTTTACATAGAAGAGGCCAGGAGTCCCTCAATTGTTTACACCATCGAGCAGCATCCCTTGGCCCCAAGTCCCTGTCCCCTTCCAAAAACGGGACAGGCGGGCTGTCATAACCATACAGTGCTTTAAACGGGAACATCCCACTAGAAGAGTGACACGTGTTGTTATAACAGAATTCGGCTAGGGGCAACAGGTCGACCCAGTTATCCTGTTGATAGTTAGCAAAACAACAAATATATTGCTCCAAAGACTGATTAACTTGCTCCGTTTGTCCATTAGTTTCTGGCTTCTAAAGCACGTGAGTTTCTGAGACTGCAACTGGGAGAATCGAGTGAGGACGGCAAAGAAGACAAGGACAGTAAACCTAGCGATGGAACTCCTACTTCTACTTCCGATGAGGACTCTGCTTCTGAGAAGGGGGCAGCAGCCCCCAAATGCGATTATCAATTGAGGATTAGAAAAGATTTTTAAAAATGAAGGCTGAAGAACTCTGAATTGTGTATTATAAGCTTTTATTAATTGGTGATGCTCTTGTGTCTTTCTTTAAACAGTGAAATTACTGGTCATAAAGACAAATGACCATGTTCAATGTAACTATATCATTTACACTAACACTTACAAGCTGTTGTAATGATCTCCTATACTTGGGTTTTTAGTGGTTTTCTTTCCTTTCTCCCTTAGTTGTAACTTCCCCCTCCCTTTTTTCGTTGTAGTTTATAGAAAAATGCAATAAAAAATCCCCTTCGGGGGGGGGCAAAAAATAAAAAAAGATACAATGCAAGGAATAAAACATTTTCTTGTTTTAGGCCTTCTTGATGTTACACAGTAATATGATGCTGGTTTCTCAGATTTCCCCCCCCCCTTTAACAATACTTTTAAATTTCTGTTTTATTAGTTTGTTACATATCTGTCTTGTCCACAAGACAATGTGCAGAAGGTTCCCAGTAGGTCTCTCATATAAGTATTGATCAGACTCTAGGATATTTTGTGAGTGTTAGGGTTTTCTGAATGTTGTAAGAACAACAGTAATGGAGATTAAAAAGTTTTTCCTTCAGGGAGACTGAGGAAGAACCGACTCTAGGGTTGCGGTGCTCATCTCCGTTTCAAAGCCGAAGAGCCAGCGCTGTCCGAAGACGTTTCCATGGTCATGTGGCCGGCATGACTAAACACCAAGGCGCACGGAACGCTGTTACCTTCCCACCAAAGTGGTACCTATTTATCTACTTGCAATTTCTTGCTTTCGAACTGCTAGGTTGGCAGGAGCTGGAACTAGAGACAGGAGCTCACCCCGTCTTGCGGCACACTCGGGTCTTGAACTGCTGAACTACTGACCTTCCACAGCCTGCAGTTCAGCTTCTT